GGTGGGGGGAGAAACATGGAAGGAATACACAGTCACTGTACCAAAATGATCAAGAGCCAATGACCCGGAAGGAAGAAGTCCAAGGTGCATTGAAGGAATTGGCAAAGAATAAGGCACCAGGAATTGATGGAGTAAAAATTGAAATCTTTCAAGAAAGTGAGGCAGCACTGGAGGCACTCACTCGTCTATGCCAAGAAATTTGGAAGACAACAATCTGGCCAACTGATTGGAAGAGATCCATATTTGTGCCCATTCCAAAGAGTGGTGACCCAAAGGAATGCAGAAATTATTGGGCAATATCTTTGATATCCCATGTGAGTAAAGTTTTACTAAAGGTAATACAGAAACAGCTGCAAGCATACATTAGCAGAGAACTTCCTGAGGTTCAGGCCAGATTCAGAAGAGGACATAGAACGAGGAATATCATTGTTGATGACCGATCAACATCAGCATCTTGGCTGAAAGCAGAGTACCAGAAAGATATTTACCTGTGTGCTTTATTAACTATGCAAAGGCTTTTGTGTGGATCATGACAAGCTACGGACAACATCGCCAAGTATGAGTATTCCTGAACATTTAATTGTGCTCATAAGAAATCTGTACCTGGACCAAGAGGCAGTTCTTCGAACAGAAGATGGGAACACTGAATGATTTAAATTTAAGAAAGGTGTGCAACAGGGTTGTATTCTTTCACTATATTTATTCAACCTGTATGCTAAGCAAATAATCCAAGAACTTGGATTATTTGAAGGAAAACATGGCATCAGAATTGGAGGAAGACTCATTAACAACCTGAGATATGCAGATGATACAACCTTGCTTGCTGAAAGTGAGGAGGACTTGAAACATTTACTGATGAAGATCAAAGAGCACAGCCTTCAGTATGGATTGTATCTCAATGTCAAGAAAACAAAAATCCTCACCACTGGACCAATAAACAACATTCTTATCCATGGAGAAAAGATTGACGTTGTGTCAAGGACTTCATTCTTCTTGGATCAACTATCAACACTCAAGGAAGCAGCAGTCAAGAACTAAAATGACGTATTTCATTAGGCAAATCTGTTGCACACCTTTTTAAAGTGTTGAAGAGCAAAGATGTCAGCTTGAGGACTAAGGTGTGCCTAGCCCAAGATGGTATTTTTAATAACCTCGTATGCATGCAAAAGCTGGACAATAAGGAATAAGGAAGACCACAGAAGAATTGATGCTTTTGAGTTACGGTGTTGGAGGAGAATATTGAAAGTACCACGGGCTGCCAAAAGAACAAAGAGATCTGTGTTGGAAGAAGTGCACCTTGAATGCTCCTTGGAGGCCAGGATGGCCAAACTTCAACTTTCATACTTCGGACATATTGTCAGGAGGGAATAGTCACTGGACAAGGATACCGTGTTTGGTAGGGTGGCAGGTCAGAGAAAAAGAAGATCCCCAGCGAGATGGATTGGCAAAGTGGCAGCATCAATGGGCTGAAGTGTGGCAACAATTAGTCCAGGACCGGGCAGTGTTTCGTTCTCTTGTGCATAGGGTCACTATGAGTCAGTACCGACTCAATGGCACCTAACAACAACAACAATCTTGTGTCCACTTTTAAGAAACATCCCACTTGTCAACATGATTTGTTGTATAGGGTGTCCAAGGAGCTGGTAATTTGAACCACCAACCTTGTGATTGAATCTGACTTTGCGGTCCAGTGCTTATCCTACAGTGCCACACCAGGACTCCGAACATGATTTAGTCATTTGTCTTATCCCATAACTCACCACATTTTCAGAAAAAAATACCAATAGTTTCATGTATAATATACTGAGAATGGTTTAAGACAATTTGCTATTTATTCTCTTTATCTTCAGGGACTATCTCATTAATTACTGATTATAAAGTTACTTGAAATAATTCCTTGTAATGTGGTGAACTAAATACACAGTCATTTGTCTCAATTTATTGTTAATTTGCAAGAATTGATTTTTTAAAAGTTTCATTTTGTTCAATAATTTCATAAAATGACCCTTGAATCAAATATATAAGAGAAGATACAAGAAAAAAAAGAGAGAGAGAGAGAGAAGACATGGCCAAAGAGTTCCTGTCCCCACTACCATATTTTCTTCCTCCCCATGTGTTTGTTGGGTGCTGTGGAGTCTATTCATGTGACAGAGCAAAACTGCCCGGCGGGGGGCTCCCTTGCTGTGATTTTCTTTTAGGAAGCAGATCACCAAGTCTTTCTCAGTCACTAGGTAGCTTAGAACTGCCAATCTTTTTGTTGGTAGCTGAGTGCTTAGTTGTTGCAGTACTGGGGCTCCTTTATTGTTTCTATAAAATATATTTTTAAAAATATGTATTTCCCTTTCCCCACTGAGATAAATGATTGTTGTTGTTGTTAAATGCTGTAGAGCTGGTTCAGACTCCTAGTGATCCTGTATAGAGTTTCTGAGGAGCAGCTGGTGGATTTGAACAGCTGACCCTGTGGTTCAAGTCCAGTGCTGATCCTATAGCGCCTCACCAGGAGTCCATGTTTTTCCCTACTTAATATATCCTCAGAGCACTCCATAGTAATTAACTAGAGATATTTTTATTTCTCTGTGACCCTTATTGCTACAGTGTACTCCACTGTGAACAGACTGTAGTGTTTCCCACTACTGCCCTGTTGATGAACTTCTGCATTGTTCCTGACCCTTTGTTATTGCAAATAGTGCTGCAGTGAATAGCGGTTTGCATACATCTATTTGTATTCTTGGAGTCCTGGTATGGCGCTGGTTTGCAAGGTCACTTTGAACCACAAGGTCAGCAGTTCAAGCTCACCAGCTGCTCTTTGGAAACCCTGTACAGTGTTGCTTTGAGTCTGTATGTCTCACTGACACTTAAAACAGCAACAACAATTTGTTTTCTTGCCAATGTATCTTTGGGATGGATTCCTAGAAGTGAAATATAACTGAGTCAGAGGGTGCATACATTTATCATTTTACTAGGTTTTGCCAAATTTCCCTCCATAAGAAGCTCTGGTAGCGTAGTGGTTATGAATTGGGCTGCGAACCTTAAGGCCAGCAGTTTGAAACTCCCAGTGGCTCCACGGGAGAAAGATGAGGCTTTCTGCTCCCATAAAGATTTACAGCCTCGGAAACCCTGTACAGGGTCGTTATGAGTCGCAACCGACTCCACGGCACTTAACAACAACAACAACAGGGCTGGTACAATGTTTGTATGTGATACATAAGCATCCCTGTCTCCCCATAGCCTTACCAATAGAATATGCTGTCAGAAGTTGGGAGTTTTGCCTGTCTGAGAGATGAGAAATGGTATCTCTGTATAGTTGTGATTTGCATTTCTCCATTCTGAGCTGTGTTTAACATCTTCATATGGGTAAACCATTTGCATTTTCTTTTCTTGTGAGCTGTTTTTCTTATCTTTAGTCAATTGGAATTCTGGTGTGGCCCCTGTAGGATAAGTATTAGACTGCTAATTATAAGGTTGGTGGTTCAAACCTACCAGCTGCTCCTTGGAAACCCTAATGTTGTTGTTGTTGTTGTTAAGTACCTTTGACCCATAATGACGCTGTATAGGTTTCTGAGGAGCAGTTGGTGAGCTTGACCCACCAGCCTTGTGGATCAAACCAACTTTGCAGTCCAGCACCACAGAACCACACCAGGACTCTATACAGGGTCTCTGTGATCTGACTAGTGTAGTGGTTACAAATCGGGCTGCTAACCTCAAGGTCAGCAGTTGGAAACTACCAGCCATTCTGCAGGAGAAAGATGAAGCTTTCTGCTCCCGTAAAGATTTACAACCTTGGAAACCTTATGTAAGGTCACTATGAGTCGGAACCGACTCCACAGTACTTAACAACAACAATGATCTGACTAGACCGCACTTAACAACAGCCCACTTTTCTATAAGCTTATTGGCCTTTTTATTCTCTATTTTGTAAAGGTCTTTACACATTTTAGGATATTAATCTTTTGTCAGTGTTATAAATTACATTTTTCTCTCATTTGCCATTTCTTTTGACTTTTCTTAGATTTTTTTTTAAAGTTAGAATTTACTTATATAATCAAATGTATGGGGTGTTTTTTTTTTAAATATACTTTTCTGCTTCTGGATATTTTAATCATGAACATTTCTAATCCTCCTATGGAATTATGATTTCTTGTACCTTTATTTATTTTATTCATTCTTAATTAAAGTTCCCACTGGAATGCCAGTTTTATGAAGACAGGACTTCCTGGGAAATAGGCTCTGAGGTGATTTGCATGAGGAGGTTTATGGAAGCATCCTCATGGGAATAAGACCCTTAGGGAACAAGACAGAGGAAGAAGTTGAACTGCTGGGCAGTCACTCCAGTGGCCTCACCTGACCCCTTGGCAAGCCTCTGGTGCTGGGATGGCTCTGTAGAGTTGTCCTGAGTAGAAACAAGATGGCGTTGGCCGGTCATTGAATGTGAGCTATATCTGAGGAGGGCACAAGGCCTTAGACTAAAGTGACTTTGCTCAGCCAAGAGCCATCACTGGGAAGAGAGACTCATCTGGGAGATCTTAGCTGGGGGAATGAGTGCCTCAGTCCTGCAGGGAGACAGTGGAGGCCATCTGAGTGGAGCACCAGAGTCCTCCATGGGTTCTTTATTTTGTTAACTACCATTCTCTAACCCAACTATGCCTGGCACTTAATATCAAATATTTGATATTTGATTAAAAGACAGACAACAAAGAAATCCAGATTTCTGGTTTGTGGTCCAGGTCACTTGAATCACAATGTGGCAGGAGAGGAAGAGAAGGAACCCTGGGTAGGCTTATTTAGAATTATCTCCTGAAGTGCTTCTGACCTGTCCTCCAGTCGCAGCCCAGTGGGTGGTATTGAGGGTTAGCCCCTGCACCTCAGCAGCTGGTGCTGATCAAGGACATGGCTGGAGTAGGTTGGGGAGTGTCATTCTCGACGCTTGGACTGCCCTTTGGATGCTATGCTATGGTTGCAAGCTTTCAGTTCTTGTTGTTTATTTTTTATATTCCCTGCAGCATTCTTTAAAGAAAAGAGGAACCCGCTCCTTGGGGAAGACGGACAAGAAGCCTTCCTTGCAGGTACTTCCCAATACTCCCTGTGACCCAAGGACAGCCCACACAGGCAGGTTTCTGTCTGAAGGCCTAAGGCCTAATTCTGAGTAGTCCAGTGAGACTCCAGAGGTACCCTTCTACCCTGTCCTCTCCTTGCCTTGTTGCCCTCTTTGCTCCCCAGAACCACACCTTGAGTCTGGAGTTGAAGTATTTAAGTGCTGCTTAGTTGATTGTGACTCATAGTGATTTTGACTTAAAGGGGAGCAGGACTTAAATATTGGCTCTGCTGTTTGCTTGCCATGTGATTGGGCCAAGCCCACTTACCTTTCTGGCCTCAGTTTCCTCACTGATCAAAAGGAGCAGTGATACTTACCTTGTGGGCTTGTTGTAAGAACTAGATAGATACAGTGTGGTGTGTAGCATGGGCCAGGCACAGAGTTATGTTCACTTCTAGAAGCACTGATAAGAAAACTAAACACTTGCCTTGTCAGGATGCCAGAAGCTTTCCATACAGTCTCACTGCCTCCTCCACAACTCTGTAAGGAAGGATTAGTGCCCATTTTACACCTGAGGAAGTTGTAGTAGTGTTAGTAATAGCAGTTCCTTTCATCTTGGCTCCAGGAAGCCTTTCTAGATTCCCCCTCCCCACCCCATCCCACAACTCCATCCTTGCTGTAAGAGCAACTTCTCTGCTTCCCCCGGGGATCACCAGCTCCTTGGTAACAGGCTGTGGCTGGTACTGAGCCTCCTGACACTAACCTCACTGGGTCATGTCTATCCCTGTCCCCTTTGGGTCCCAGGAGGACAGTGCAGACCTAAAGTGCCAGCTGCACTTTGCAAAGGAGGAGTCGGCCCTCATGTGCAAGAAGCTCACCAAGCTAGTCAAGGAGAATGACAGCATGAAGGAAGAGTTGCTCAAGTACCGCTCACTCTATGGTGACCTGGATAGTGCCCTGTCCGCCGAGGAGCTGGCCGACGCCCCGCACTCCCGTGAGACTGAGCTGAAGGTGCATCTAAAGCTGGTGGAGGAGGAGGCCAACCTGTTGAGCCGCCGCATTGTGGAGCTGGAGGTGGAGAACCGAGGGCTGCGGGCCGAGATGGACGACATGAAGGATCATGGTGGTGGCTGTGGGGGCCCGGAGGCACGCCTGGCATTCTCTGTGCTGGGTGGCAGCGAGTGTGGGGAGAGCTTGGCAGAGCTGCGGCGGCACCTGCAGTTCGTGGAGGAGGAGGCAGAGCTGCTACGGCGCTCCTCGGCTGAGCTGGAGGACCAGAACAAGCTCCTGCTGAACGAGCTGGCCAAGTACCGCGCAGAGCACGAACTGGACGTGACGCTGTCAGAGGATAGCTGCTCCGTGCTCAGTGAGCCCTCGCAGGAGGAGCTGGCAGCTGCCAAACTGCAGATCGGCGAGCTCAGCGGCAAGGTCAAGAAGCTGCAGTATGAGAATCGCGTGCTCCTGTCCAACCTACAGCGCTATGATCTGGCCTCTTGCCAAAGCACACTGCCAATGCTGGAAACGGACGCTGAGGCTGGAGACTCTGCCCAGTGTGTGCCCCCTCCCCTTAGCGAGGCCCACGAGCCCCACATTGCCCGGTTCTGCAGAACTAGGGAGGCCGAGGTACTGCCTGGGCTGAGGGAACAGGCCGCCCTGGTCAGCAAGGCCATTGATGTCCTGGTGGCTGAGGCCAATGGCTTCTCCACTGGCCTCCGGCTGTGTCTGGACAATGAATGTGCTGACTTTCGTCTGCACGAGGCGCCTGACAACAGCGAGGGCCCCAGGGACAGCAAGCTCATCCATGCCATCTTGGTGCGACTGAGCATGCTCCAGCAGGAGCTCAATGGCTTCACTCGGAAGGCGGACACTGTCCTGGGAGGCTCTGGAAAGGAGCAGCCAGAACCCTTCCCATCGCTGCCTGCCTTGGGATCCCAGGGTCCCTCCAAGGAGATTCTTCTGGCCAAAGACCTCAGCTCCGACTTCCAGGTAAGGTGCCCCAGGCCCTATTATCCTTTGTTAGTAAACTTGTTGTTGATGTGTAACTATGTACAGACAGATCACAAGTGTGCAGCTTAATGAGTTTTCCCAAGGTGAACACACTCATGTAGTCATCACCCAGAACAAGAAATAGAACATGACGCCAGAAGTCTCCCTTTGCTCACAAGGATAATTCCCCCTTGATCCCTCTGAGTGTACCCCAATTCACTTGTGCATTCTAATGGTAGATCTTGGGGTTGATTCCGAGGCCCTGTCTAGTTTTCTAGGTTGCTCTTTCTTTCTTTCTTTTGTAATTTTGTATTTGTTAGCTTTTTATTGTGGATTGACTAAAGGTTTACAAAACAGTCATCAGTCTTACATTCAACAAAATACATACTTCATGTCATTACAATGATTGCAATCCACTCCATGTACCATCAGTTAACAGTGTTTACCTCTAGTCACTTTGGTTTTCTTCCTTCCCCCCAGCCCCCATCTACCCTGTAACCATCATAGAATGTTTCATTTAGCAAGAAAATCTTTTTACTACAGTGGTCTCATGCAATATTTGTCCTTTTGTGATTGACTAATTTCACTCAGCATAACGTCCTCCAGATTCATCTATCATGTGAGGTGTTTTGCAGATTCTTCCTGAGTCTTCAGTGTTGCATTATATTCTATTGTGTGTATGTACCAAAGTTTGTTTATCCATTCTTCTGTTGGGCATTCAGGCTGTTTCCATCTCTTTGCTGTGTGGATAGAGCTGCAGTGAACATCGGTGTGCATAGATCTAGTCGTGTCCCAGCTCTTTACTTCTTGAGGATGTATACCAAGTAGAGGAATTGCTGGGTCATATGGTGTTTCTTTTGCCAACTTTTTGAGAAAGTGCCTTGCCGTTTTCCACAGTGCTTACACCATTTTATTGTCCCACCAGCAGTGTAGGAGGGTCCTAGTCGCTCCACACTCTCACCAACATTTGTTTTTTTTTAACTTTGTTATTAATGTAGTAAGATGATATATCACTGTTGTATTGATTTGCATCTAATGGCTAATGATCATGAGCATTTCTTCATATGTTTGTTGCCTGCTTAAATGTCTTCTTTGGTAGGTGTCTGTATATCCTCTGTCCATTTTTCAATTTGATTTTTTGTAGTCTTTTTGAGATGTTGAATTATTCTATACATTTTAGAGAGCAGTCCTTTACTCTTTTGGTGAAATTCTTTGATGCACATTTTGTTGTTGCTATTCAGTGCCGCTGAGTCGGTTCTGACTCATAGCAACCCTGTATAGGGTTTCCAAGGAGCGACTGGTGAGCTTGAACCACTGACTTTGTGGTTCAAACCATCTTTGCAGTCCAGCACATTAACCTACAGCATCACACCAGGATTCTGGGTGCACGTAAGTGTCTAATTTTTGGAGGTCCCAGTCATCTATTTTGTCTTCTGTTTGTTTTCAGTTATGTTTGATGGTGTATTTATGCCATGTATCAGAGCACCTGAGTTTTTCCGTTTTTTCATTGATGATCTGTGTAGGTATAGTTCTAGGTTTTACATTTAGGTCTTTAATCTATATTGAGATCATTTTTGTATATGTTGTGAAAATGGGTCTGTTTCATATATCTGCAACTGGATGCCCAGTTTTGCCAGCATCATTTGTTTAATAGACTATCTATCATTTAATGCATTTTGGCTCTTTGTTGAAGATCAGCTGACCATGACGTTGGTGATTATGTGCTGTGGAGTTGATTTCGACTCGTAGTGTCCCTATATAGGGTTTTTGAGGCTATCAATCTTTAGTGGAGCAGGAAACCTCATCCTTTTCCTGTGGAGCATATGGTCGATTAGAATTACTGATATTGCAGTTAGCAGCCCTATTCATAACCCACTATGCTACCAGAGCTCCTTCTACTGACTACAGGTGGATGGATCTATTTGTAGGTTCTCAATTCTGTTCCATTGGTCTATATGTTTTTGTTGTACCAGTACCAGGCTGTTTTGCCTAATGTGGCTGTGTGATAGGTTTTGAGATTGGGAAGTGAGAAGCCTCCTACTTTCTTTTTTTAAAATAATACTTTGCTTACCTGGGGTCTCTTTCTTTCCATATATATTTAATGATTAGTTTTTTCATCTCTTTAAAGAATGATGTTGGAATCTGGATGGGATGTTGTTGTTGTGGTTAAGTGCCTTTGAGTTGGTTCCAACCCATAGTGACCCTGTATAGGGTTTTCTAGGGGAGGCTGGTGAGCTTGAACTGCCAATCTTCCAGTTCAAATGACTTTGCAGTCTAGCACATTAACCCACAGCGCCACACCAGGATAGCATTATATTTATAGATTGCTTTGGGTAGTGTTGACATTTTCACAATGGTAAGTCTTCCTATCTACAAGCAGCGTATATTCCTCTATTTCTGTCTCTTTTGTTTCTTGTAGTATTTTGTAATTTTTTTTGTATAGGTCTTTTGCTTCTCTGATTTATTCCCAAGTATTTCAAGGAGCTCTGGTAACGTAGTGGTTACGAATTGGGCTGCTAACCTCAAGGTCGGCAGTTCGAAACTACCAGCCATTCCTCTGAAAAAAGGTGAGGCTTTCTGCTCCCGTAAAGATTTACAACCTTGGAAACCCTGTACAGGGTCACTATGAGTCAGAACCGACTCCACGGTACTTAACAACAATATTTCATGTGGTAGCTTAGTGGTTACGAGTTGGACTGCTAATCTTAAGGCCAGCAGTTCGAAACTACCAGCCATTCCGTGGGAGAAAGATGAGGCTTTCTGCTCCAATAAAGATTTACAGCCTCAGAAACCCTATACAGGGTCACTATGAGTCACAGTTGACTTCACAGCACACAACCACCATTTCATCTCTGGGGGGGGGCCTATTGTAAATGGTATTGTTTTCCTTATCTCCTTTTCAGAGCTCTCTTTGTTAGCCTAAAGGAATCTAACTGGTTTTTGTGTGTTAATCTCGTACCCTGCCATTTTGCCTCATCTATCAATGAGTTCCAATAATTTTCAATAGGTTTTCAGATTTGTTGGGGTACAATTCTTTGTGTTGTTGTTGTTGCTAAGTGTTATCAAGTCAGTTCTGACTCATAGTAGCCCTGTATAGCGTTTCCAAGGAGTGGCTGGTAAGTTTGAACTGCCAACCCTGTGTTTTTAACCAACCTTGTGGCCTAATGCGTATCCTGAGCACCACACCAAGACAATTCTTCCGAGTATTCTGTTATTATACTTTTTATTTCCATTGGTTCTGTCATGGTGTCACCCATAAATTTTCTTATTCATGTTATTTGTATCTACTCCTTCTTTTCTTTTATTAGATTTGCCAGTGGTTTGTTGATTTTATTAATCCTTTCAAAGAACCAACTTCTATTGTTTTTCTATTTTCTATTTCATTTATTTCTGCTCTAACCTTTATTCTTCCTTCTGGTAACTGTAAACTTGCTTTGCTGCTCTTTTCCATTGTTAAAGATGTTTGGTTAAGGTGTTGATTTTAGTTCTTTCTTCTTTTTGGATGTACACAATTATTGATAAAAATTGCCCTGTAAGCACTGCTTTTGCTGTGTCCCAAAAGTTTTGGTAGTTATTATATTTTCATTCTCATTTGACTCAGGGAATCTTGTATTTGATTATTTACTTGATCTATTGCCTATCTGTAGTTTTAAAGGAGGGTGTTGTTCAATTTCTACTTATTTGATTTTTTTCCCCTTGATCCTCTTATTTTTTATTTCTAATTTTATAAATGGTGATCTGAATAGATGCTTTGTAGTATTTTGATGCTTTTAAATTTATTGAACTTTGCTTTGTGGCCTAACATATGGTCTTTTCTGGAGAATTTTCCATATATGCTGTAAATAAATGTACTGTTGTTGTGTTGAGTGCTCTGTGTATGTCTATGAGGTCAAGTTGGTTGATTGTGTTATTTAGTTCTGTGTCTCCGTTGAGTTTCTTTATAGTTATTCTGTCCTTCATCAAAAGTGGTATATTGAAATATCCTACTATTATTGTTGTCAATTTCTTTCTTCCATTCTATTAGAGTTCGATTTATGTGTTTTGAGGCTCTTTCATTGGGGTTATAGATATTTATTATAGTTATGTCCTCTTGTTCAATTGACCCTTAATCATGTCTCTTATGCTGCATTTTGCCTTAAAGTCTATTATATCAGAAATTAAACTTGCCACTCCAGCTTGTTTTTGATTGTCATTGTTGGTGGTGGTTACAATGTGCTGCAGAGTCGGTCCTGACTCATAGCAACCCTGCATAGGGTTTCCGAGGCTATAAATCTTTATGGGATCAGAAAGCCTCATTGTTATCCCATGGAACTGCTGGTAGTTTCAAACTGCTGATCTTGAGATTAGCAGCCCGATTCATAACCACTACGCTACCAGAGCTCCTTTAGTTTCATATATTTTTCCACCCTTTGATTTTTAGTGTATTTCTATATTTGTTTGTAAGATGTGTCTCTTGTAAGCAGCACATTGAAGGATCCTGTGTTCTTATCCATTCTGCTACTGTCTGTCTCTTGACTGGTGCATTAATCCATTTGCATTCAATGCAGGATCAGCGCTGGACTTCAAATCACAAGGCCTACAGTTCAAACCCATCAGCTGCTCCTCAGAAACCTTATAAAGGGTTGCTATGAGTTGGAACGAACTCTATGGCATTTAACAACAGTATAAATTGATTGCTGTCATTTTGCACAGTGTTTTTGTGTGTGATGCTGACTTCTTTTTTCCACATAATTTTCTGCACTAAGTTCATTTTATTTGTGGGTCTTGTTTTCATTTTCTTCATTTCTGTTTTTAATGTCTACATTTCTTTCTGATCTCTTTTTATTTTGATGTGCAGGTGTATTCATTTTCTTTGAGGTTACCCTGTAATTTACTATTTTTCCCCCCACTTTAAAATATTTTGTATTATCTTGAAATCTGCTTGATTTCCTCACCAGTTGGAAGTTCTATATCTACACTATTCCCTTTTTTGGCTTTGTAGTTGACTTCATTGTACATTG